GTCTTTTTGGCAGGGATCAATACTAATAAACAATTCGATTTTAATTATATTTCTCTTTTATCGCCTTATCTAGCGGTCAGCAGCAAAATGATGCGGGATTGACAACGCTGTGTCAGAAAAAGGTTCTTTGGCGCGATTAAATAAATAAGTAGACATAACAAAAATCATAAACGGTCCACCTTCAAACTTGTGACGTTCACCTGTACGATTAATTATAATCGAGAAATCAGTTATATTATCTTATTTAGTCTTTTATTTNACTTGTGACGTTTACCTTTACTATTAATTATAATTGAGAAATCAGTTATATCATCTTATTTAGTTTTTTATATCTAAAGAAGTATTGTGAAAATAAATGTGTTATTTTTATTATGTTGCCACAGTGACTAACTATTAACTTTAATAAACTTCATTGAAAAAATTAAAAAATAAAAACTTAGAATTTTCATTAAATATTTATCATGGAAGTTAATTCAACACATGAAATATATCATAAAGAACTTGAACGTATTTGTGAAAAGCATAGAACTGAACTAGATGAAATTGAAAAAAGACATCGTGATGAAATAAAACGAATATTTACAGAAAATAACATAGAAATTTCTAAATTGAAACAAAATCTTAGATCGGAATATCAAAAAGAATTGGAAAAGATAAAAGAAATTCATGAACAGGAAATTGAAGAACTTAGAAATCAATTTCAAAGTCACCTAAATGGTTTAAAAGATTGTGACCTAGATATGTTAACTAAACGTATTGAAGAAGATATTACAAAAACACAAGCTAAACACAAAAAAATTGTTTCATATTTGATTAATGAAATAAACAAATTAAAAAAAGTAATATTACTTTAAAAAAATTAATACTTAATCTTTTCTAACAAGATATTTTATATTTTTAGACTTTAATTAATTCTTCATTTAATGATATAGAAAGCCCTTTGTTAAGACTTGTTATTATCAGTGCGTCAGTACTAGTGCGACAACGGCCGCAATAACCTATCCGCTAGCTCCGTTCACTATCAATTAATTATAAATTGTACAGAATTTATATTTGTGAATTAATAAATCATTTTAATATTAATTACATAAAATTATATTGTTGAGAATTTTATTTTATATTATACAGTCCGCTAATCATTAAAAACAGAAATAAAATAACACACGAACCATTACGTGGCGTTAACACCCTTAAATTCAATAGATATAAAAAATTATAGAGATGTTTAGTGATGGGCATAATCGAATGATTTCGATAATCGAATGATTAGTAATCGAGACATTTTCATAATCGAGTGAATCTCTCGAAAAATCACTCGAAGTTAAAATCATCTGCTCGTATGATAAGAATAATCAACTATTATTATTTATCGAGAGAATCGAAAAATTATTCGAAATATGAATAAATATACCTATAGTAAATAATTATTAATTTAATTTTGCTTTTTTTATTTGTTGGTGTTTATTTATAATTATTATATTAAACTATAATTTAGGAATAATAATAACAATAATATATTAATAATGCATTATTAATAAGTGCTTTAAATAAAAGACAAGTTGTTATTTTTATTATTTAATAATTATTACCTATATTTTAAAAAAACCGATAACAAATTTAAAAATAAAAACATAAGATAAGGTAGCAATAGCCGGCTTGACCATCATAATTAAAACACCTAATTCCACACCTAATTGATTTTTCATAAATTCACAACTAGTGAGAGAATCAGAACTCAGTAGTTTAGCCAGTTCAGGACAAAACTTTGTTCTAATCGTCACATACTTCCCAAAAATGTGACAGATAAGGTGTTGCCATGAGTAGCGATTGAACGAGTTGAAAATAAGACTCGAAGTCAACAATTTAATAATAATTCGACTATAATTTATGCTAAATAAAAACTTAAAAATAGTATTCTCTCGTTTCATCGTTTCATGGACATCATTCGAAATAACTTTTATTCGATTATATACATTTCAAGATCAAGAAATCATTATTTTTATAATAAACGAGAAATCATTAGAAATAATCACTCGATTATAGAATAATCAATATTATTCTAATATTATTTATTAAAAAAATCAAAATATCTCGATTATATATCTCGATTATGCCCATCACTAGTAATAACCTATCCGCTAGCTCCGTTCACTATCAATTAATTATAAATTGTACAGAATTTATATTTGTGAATTAATAAATCATTTTAATATTAATTACATAAAATTATATTGTTGAGAATTTTATTTTATATTATACAGTCCGCTAATCATTAAAAACAGAAATAAAATAACACACGAACCATTACGTGGTGTTAACACCCTTAAATTCAATAGATATAAAAAATTATAGAGATGTTATTTCACATAATTTTGTTTGAATAATGTCTCTAAATATATATTACATGTAATATATACTATATATTTTTAGGATGATATGAAATTACTTTTAACCAATACTAAAATGGAGCTAGAAGAAAAAAATGCTGTAATAAAAGTAATGGAAAAAGATACTGAATCTATGAATAATCGAATTAAAACTTTGGAAGAAGACATTAAATTATTATACTTAGACAAGATCTCTTTAGAGCAACATATTGAAAGCTTAAAAGAAAATGAAAATGTGTTAACTAATAAATTGTATTATGCATTGTCAGAAATTGAAAAAAAAACAAGAAACATTAAAAGAACTTGAAACTTTGGGGGTAAAATTAGGAGCTGAAATTCAATCATTAGAATATATGAAAAATACTTTAGAAAAAAAACTTGAGTCTTTTAAAGAATATAATAAGAATATAACAAGTCACACGGAAGATCATAAATTATTAATGACTCATTTGAAAAATAAAGACTGTAAGAAGCCAATAATATTTTATGAATTAGAAATATTAATTGCACTTTATAATGAGATTATTGTCACTTATTTAATTTTTAGATAAAATAACAAATACAACATTTTCTGATCTAGATTCTGATAAAACTTCTCCAGATTTGGTAATTCATGATAAATATCTCTTATTAAAATTATAATCTCAACTTTTTATTAACCTTTTCTTTTAGGTAAATAATTCAATGACAGTACTGGAAAAGANCTTTTTATTAACCTTTTCTTTTAGGTAAATAATTCAATGACAGTACTGGAAAAGAATCTAGATTATGAACGTAAAAAAAACAATGAGTTACAACATGAAATAGAAAATAATGAAGTAGAAATTAATCATCTAAAAAAATATCAAGAAGAACTGTTGTAAGATAAAATTGTATTTAACATAGAAATATTAAAAGTCTCTTTAAAATTTAATATTAAATTAAAAAAATAATAGAAATCATTT